CCCACCAGCCTGCTGGCCCAGCTCTCCGGCCACCGGGCGCAGCGGCAGCCCGAGACGCCAGGCAACGGCGGCCGCGCGATCCGTCGGCGCGCACTGCCGGGGCGGCGGCCGCGACAGGGAGAGTCGCGCAGACTTGGCCGTCTGTGGCCCGCGCGCGATCCCAGGAGCCAGGAGGCGCGCCAGCGGCGGCGTCTGTGGCCAAGGCGTGCAGATCGCAGGTCGCTTCGGCCTCCTGGCACGTACGTCTCCAGTGTCCCGGGGGCGCAGCCGGGCTCGGGCCTCCTGCCGCGCCCGGCCGAGGGCGAGGAGGAGCGCGCGGGGTCGCGCGCGGCGGTGGGAGGGGAGGGGTCCTCATCGCCAGGGCCCCCCCCTCCGCGTTGGCTCCGCCCAGGTTTGGCCTGGCGGGAGGAGCGCGTTTCCACGGTCCAGGTACCAGGGGCGCGGGCCGGCGCACCTTCGGTGGACGGGCGTTGTTCGGAGCGGGTCCGCAGCGCGGCGACGAGGCTCAGTGGCGTGCCGGGGGGGGGTGGATCGCAGGGAGCGGCGTCGCGACTGCTGCTCTGCTCGAGGGCGCAGGGAGCGATCTGGCTTTGGGCTGGTGTCCTGGCGGAGATCACTGGGGCCCGGCGGTCGGGGTCGGGCCCGGGAGCGAGCTGCGGAGCCAGGTGCGAGTCCCCTGGAGCCGGGAGCGGGTACTGGAGCGCGGGGCCAGCCCATGGCAGGCCGTCAGGGGGGGGGCCCAGGGTTCGAGTCGACTCGTCGATCGTTTCGGAGTTTCGCTCGACGTGGGTACCGATCCCCGCGTCGTCTCTCGCGATCCCTGCTGCTCTCGCCAGTCGGGTCGACTCGAGCGCCAGGGCCTCCCGCGTCACCGCCCCGTTCAGCGCGCAGGGCCGAGCCGTGGCTTCGCCCCGCGTACGCGACGGCCGGGCCATCGGGGGAACCCGCGGGCGGGACCGCGCCCGCGGCGGGGCCGGCCGAGTCGGCAACTGCAGGGGGGCCGCCGCGGTGCGCCGTCACACCCGATGGCGTCTCACTTTTGGCCACAGCTACACCATGGGCCGCGCCTGTATAGCGTGTCTGGGCTGTTGGGCGGCACCGGGGGCTGGCCACGAGCGCTGCCGAGCGGCGCGGGGGGCGGTCTTGCGTCCTGCATGGCCGCGCCGCCGCCGCCACTGCTGTCGGTGTTGGCAAAATTCTGCGGCCGAGGAGGACCTGTAGGGGAGAGAGCGGAGGGGGAACCAGGCAAGGTGGGCTCAGGGCTTACCCCCCCGCCACGGATGCGGCAATTTGCTCGTGGAAATCGCTGACGTCAGGCCCCGACGGACCCGACGCCAGGAGAGGGGGGACAGGGCCAAAAGGGGGGGTCCCCCTTGCAGGACAACCGCTGACCGCGGCATTCGCTTGCTGGCCATGCATGACGTCAGGCCCCGACGGGCCCGACGCCAGCAGAGGGCCTCCAGGTAAACGGATGCCTCCATAACCTCCCTCCTCCCTGCTCTCTCCAGGTAAGCCGCGGAATGCGGCAGCAAGCGGGTGAGTGATAGGGCCGTGCTCCGCGCCAGGCCCCGACGGACCCGACGCGGGCAGAGGGCAGCCAGGTGCCCCTCCTCTCCCATCCCCCCCATCCTTCCCCACAGCCTCTCCCCCTCGGCCTGGCCCCCCGCGTCGGGGGCGCCGAGGCCGAGGCCCAAGACGCTGAGCGAAAACGAAGCAGGAACGGCAACCAGTTCTTCCCTCCTCCCTCTCCACCTCCACGCGAGTGGGCGTGCACTCGGGCGTGCCCTCAGCCGCAGGTGTGACTCCGTATCCAGGTGTGGGCGTGTGTTCGGCCGCGCAATAAGGCGCCGCCGCGATACCGAACCGCGCGCCTTCAGCTGCCACCACCGCCGGCAGCAGCGGCGGCCGCGGCAGCAGCTGAAGGTGCAGCCGGCGAAGCCGCGCCAGCCAGCGCGTTGCACCTGGCAGCGAAGGCGGCCGCGAGGCCGGCAAGGGCCGCCTCGGCCGGGGGCCCCCGGGAGGCGGCCGCGGCGGCGGCGGCGGCCGCAGCGGCGGCGGCGAGCGCACGGGGGGGCCGGCAGCCGTTGCAGGACGCCGCCGCAGGCAGGGTGCCGGCGGCGGCGGCGATAGCGCCAGCAGCAGCAGGGGCGGTCGAGGGCGGGGCAGCCGCAGCACCGCCGCCAGCGTGCCACTCGCGCGCCGGCTTCTGGTGGGGAGGCGGCAGCGGCAGCAGCGTCAGCAGCAGCAGGGGCGGCCGGGGCGCCGCCGCCGCCCGCCGCCGCACGCGCGCCGGCCTCCTGGGGGGAGGCGGCAGCGGCAAGAGCGTCAGCAGCAGCTGGGACAGCCGCGGCCAGGGCGGCCGATCCGCCGCCGCTGGCCGCCGCCTCCCGCGCGCCGGCCTCCGGGGGGGAAGGCGGCGGCGGGCCCAGGCTGGGCGGCCCGTCGCGGCGGCCAGGCGCTGGCGCCGCTGCAGGGCGGCGCCGGTGAGGCCGCCGGCACCAGGAGCCATCGCAGTGGGGACCGGGCTCGGCGCGTACCTGGACCAGGGGCGTGCTCGAGCCGAGACGATCTTGAGCCAGAGGCTTGAGCCAGGCTACGGACACAAGGGTCTGAACAGGCGAGGAAGAGGGAGGGGGGAGGGGGAGACAAAGGAGAGGGAAGGAGCAGGGGCAGGAGGACGAGGGAAGAGGAGCAAGGGGAGGAAGAGGAGGTGTAGGGATACACATTCACATACAGATGCAGAGCTATCAACGGTGCAGGCAGCCAAGCCATGGCGGGGGAGGAGGAGGGAGGAGGAGCGATGAGGAGGGAGGACAAGGGTGTTCACGGTTCGGTCGGTTCGGTTGCGTCGCAGTCGGTTGCGTTCGTTGGGTTCGTTTCGGTCGGTTATTGTGTCGTTGCTGCGTCGTTGCGCCCCCCTAGGCTGCTTTGGGCCTGTCGATGTTGGTCAGTTTCGGTTTCGCTGTCGGTTCGGTCGGTCTTCGGTTTTGCTGTCGTCGTGCACGGCCTTGGAGGAAGATGCAGGGGGCCTCTTCCTCTTCGGGAGCGGGGAGCGGGCCAGGGCGAATGCCACTGGCATGTACCGCGCCGTCCCCGGCATGGCCGCGGACGCGACCAGGAGGGGCGGGACTAGCGCGAGGCGGTCTTCAGCGGTCTTTCCCGACCGGGGTCATTCCGACTCCTCCGGCTCGAATCCCCGGTTGCCGATTCGAACCCATTCGATGCGGAGATTCCGACTCGCGATTCCGAGTTCGAGTTCGCCCGAGCCGACTCTTGCCGATTCGGATTTGCCGATTCTTATCGATTCGATGGTGCAGCCGACTTTTTGCCGATTCCTGCTGGTTGGAATCTCGCGCTGATCCGATTCGATGTACCCCGATGCTGGGGCCGCCTGCCGGAGCGTCCACGGGGTGGGCCAGGACTGCAGCTGGTGCGGGCGGGGTTTGGCGTAATGTTGCACGTGCAGTCGTCGTGCTACCATCTGGGCAACGCCAGGAGCGGCGGGGCTTTTCCGGCCACGGCGAGCTTCGGCCACGAAGAGGTGCCCCGACTTGGATCTAGGGAGCGGCCCGAGAACCACAGCCCCCTCGTGCGCCCAGGTAGACCCTGTGTCGTCGCCTTGACTGCACGCGCAGCGCTGGCAGACTGCGGTCAGGAACGTTTGCCCAGCGCGTCGCGCCACACGGCTGTGGCCAGCCAAGGTCTGGCGTAACTCTAGTCAAGCGGCATTTGGAGTTTTCCTAAGCCTCCTGTCACACCCGACAGAGTGGCACGCTCATCGGCTTGCAGAGCATAGCGTGTCGCTGGGGCCGCCGCCGCGACACGCTAAGCAGAATGTCCTGACCGCAGCAGGACGAATGATGTTCTGGTTGAGGTGCGAACCGCGATGAGCGGTAGTCAAAAGAGCGCCAGCGCCGCTAAGCGCGTGGAGCTCGTATTGGTTGTTCGCAGCTGCTGCGGATGTGACGATGTGTTCATGGTGAGAGCGATATGTGCGTGAGAGGGCTGATGTGCCTGCGCGAGACAGCGTGCCCACCGTGGCAAGCTGTCAATCAATTTCAACCCATTTTCCATTACAGAATATTCGTGCGGGCGGGCTCTGGGGCCTTGGATACGATTTCCGCCCGTCCCCCGCTTGAGTTGGATATCTTGAGTACACGAGCGGGATAAATGCCAGATCCGTGTGACAACCTCGGATTGGAATTATATCGATACACGAGCACATCCAGGACGACCAAGTTAGGTCCGCGCGGATTGGAATCAGACCCATCCCAACATTTATCGGAGCCCATGGTTGGAGCCGCGCATCTTAACATCAGATCCACTTCAGATCCCACTCATACATTCCACTGCCACTATTGACGGCCCAATCGAGATTTGGCCTGCGCTGGGACGGTATCCTCCTCAGGTTTCTGGAGACTTCCCGAGACCTCTGGGGGCCTCGTCCTCCTCCGTCCCCACCCCTCCCCCCCCTCATCCGATGTCGCATTGCCTCGAGACGTCGGCCCCCGGGATCTCGGCTTCTCATTCCCTGCTGTCTCTTGACGTCCCCAGGGCGGGGACTACCCCGTTCGGCTCCGCCGGCAGCGCGCAGCCCGTGCCGTCCTTCGTTGCGCCGCCTGCGCCTTATCGAGGGGCCTCGGTGGACAACAACACGTTGGCGCAACACGCGGTCTGCGGATCATCGAGCAGAACGAAAGCGCAAGCGAGCCGAAGCAGGTACAGGCGCCAGTCGGGCTATGGGCGGGACGCGCCAGAAGCGAATCGGGGCATGGCGGAACACAGGCAGAGAAGAGAGGAGGAGAAGACATAGCCGCTCAGATCGTGCAGGCCGTCGCGGGCGGGCGGACAGAACAAAGAACCATGCCCGCCGCGTTTGTGCTGCGGCGCCCGCAGCCTTGGCATCGCTCGGACGTTTGCATTTTTCCTTCGGCGAGGACCATCGAGGAGCATCCTTGATCATTTGGCGAAAAAGCCACGCACGAAACCGAAAAAAACAGGGAATGGACGTCCGAGCGATGGCGAGCAGCGCGGGCTGGCCAGGGGTGGAGGCCTCGATCCCCCAACCGCTCACTGATCCGCCGGCGGGGTCGCCGTCGGGGGCCTGCTCGCCGATCTATCGGCGACGCATCGCCGATCCCAGCTCGGCGTTTCCCCGCCTGACCTGGCCCCCTCCTACTTGGCATCGCTCGGACGTGCGCACTTCTCCTTCGGCGAGGACCATCGAGGAGCATCCTTGATCATCTGGGGGAAAAACCACGCACGAAACCGAACAAACAAGAGGGGAAGGACGTCCGAGCGATGGCCAGCCTAACTTGACCCCCCCCCCCACGGAGAGTTCTTTTTACCCTCTGGGCCACAACGCGCGTTGCGCCCCCTCCCCTCCCTCCCCCCAATCCCCCCCCGATAACGTAACGCTCCCCCCTCAGTGCGTCCCCGGCACTGCCGCAGTGCGTTCGGCACCACCGTTTGGGGGGGGGGGAGGGGGGAGGGTCGTTACGTTACGCCCGCGCCCCGCCCCCCTTCCCCTCCACCCCAGAACGACCGTCATCGCCGCGAATGTTAGAGGAGCGCTGTGCTGGGGTGGAGGGAATCAGAGCGTGAATTACCTACCCCGCTTTCGCTTCCAGGCAAAACCAAGCCATACCACGCGCCTCCTCGTCAAGCGGCCTGACCAGTACAGGCTGCAATTTGGCATCGCTTGGTATCTCTTGGAAGCGAGGGTGGTCAAAAGCGAGGTAGGTTTGTTTTCCCCCTAGGGAAGCAGGTGCCACTGGCTCATCCCGCCGGAGAGCCTGGCGATCCGCATGGGCCGGGAGGCGGGCTCCTTCCTCACGAGGCGCGGGGGCCCGCGTTGCCCACCGCGCGCACCGCGCCCCGGGGCTCACCGTTCTCTGTCCTCCGTCGTCTTTCCTCCTCCTCCGCCTTGTCCTCCTCAGGTCCTCCGCCTTGTCCTCCCTGACCAGGCTATCGGCCTGGCCCACCCAGGAGTCAGGACTTCCGTCGACGGCGGTGCCAGCAGGTCCAAGGTCTCGGGGGATCGCGGCTGTCCACGGTAGATATTTGTCTGAGCCCAGACAGTTTCATATGGTTCCCGAGGTGTGCTAGTTATCTGATGCCTCCTAGCTGCCTCGTGCCCCTTCTCCTCCTGCCTCTCACCCTCGTCCGTAGCCATTTCGAATCACACCCCCGCGTATGAGTAAGCCCCATCGCTACGCGTCACCCTCACGTTCATGTCGCAGCCGTGTTCAAAGCCATGGCCAGTGGCAGTGCGCTACATATTCTGTGCGACAGCGTGTTTTCGAACCTCCAGTTTCTGGTTATCGTTGCGAGACGAGTGTTCCAGGCGACGTATTCTGCCATGTCGAAACGCGGCTTCCCGTCCATCGCCAAAGCTGTACGACACTGCGTAGGCGAGCAGTTCGCTCACCAGTTGCTCATTTCGCACGCGGTAAGGCTCTGCAGAAAACGCGTTACGCTGGGTTCTCATCGGGTTGGCCGTGGAACGTGTTTGTGCACCCGCGGGCACACAATTCGGCCACTTCCTTGACGTCATCAGTTGAAGCAGGCTTGCGCTTTCGCATTTTCATTTTGGAGTCACAGCTTCACAGGTCGGGAGTTACCATGACCCACCAAGCGCAGGAAGAAGGACAGCCTCACCGACCTGCGCACCACCACTGCTGCAGTCAAGCTCGCCAACGTGACAATTGAGGCCCTCCTGGCTGTCCGCGAGTGGTCGCCAACGAGTTTGCAGGCCCCGCGATGCTGAACAACTGCGCCATGCCGACATCGAGAATGCGGTCACGGTGAAGATCGCGGAGGCGGACACATGCGGACACGAACACCAACGAAAACATCATCGGGCGGTTGGAGGTGCAGCAGTGGATGTGTCCAGGCGAACGCGTTGGTGATGATGTCCAGGCGACGCAAGCACGTCAACGACATGGTCTGCGTCTCATCGCCGTTGTGCACAGACGATGCCGCGAATATTGGCATGTTGCCGTTTCGCCGGACCCCGCTATGGTTGAGGCCGCGCGGGTCTTGATCGCGAAGACCGATGAGTTCGAGACGACCGCAGTCAGAGCCCAGTCGAATTTTAACAACGAGACGCGTTTGGAGAAGCGGAGGAGGCGCCTAACGAGACGTCGCAGGCAACATCGCGAACTACCCGACACCAGCCCGAAATCCCCCTTCTTGGTGCCAAAAAGAAAGAGCATGGTTATTTCGACATTCTCCTGGCGGTCACCAGAGCGAACCATCATGGCCTGCAGGAGGTCAAAGCTATTCTCGAAGACTGTGCTGTATGCAATGCCGCCGGCGACCACCAGGATGCGCACAAGGACATACAACGCAATATTGTCACGGGACGACGACGACACTCACTATGCAATTCCAGAACATCATGCAGTTCATAATCAATGACCCCGACGCCACTCTCCAGCAGAACCAGGCGATGCTTACCTTGGACGCGACCATGCCCATGAAGCACAAGGTTGCGTTCTCGCTGGCACTCGATGACTGCAGTTTCTGCGGACCCTGCGATGCAAACAGAGCTTGGCGCCGACGCCGCGCTGAACAAGAAGTGCGCGCAGCAGAACACGGACTGATCGCGCCGCGAGGCTCTTTCTTGTCGTGTCTCTCTCTCTCTCTCTTGTTTCTCTTTCTCTCTCTCTCTCTTTCTCATTGTCTCTCTCTCTCTCTCTCTTGTTTCTCTTTCTCTCTCTCTCTCTTTCTCATTTTCTCTCTCTCTCTATCTTTCTCTTTTTTTTTTTCTCTCTCTCTCTCTCTCTTTCTTATGTTTCTTTATTTCTCTCTCTCTCTCTTTCTCTCTCTCTCTCTCCCGCGCTCTCTCTCTCTCTCTTGTTTGTTTCCTCTCTCTCAATGTGTATATATATATATATGCCGGCGGAACAGGAGCGAGGCTGCCAGGAGTGGACCTGCGCTCTCCATGGGGGCTCCGGGGCTCACCTTTCCGAGGCCGCCAGGAGTGGACCTGCGCCCCCCATGGGGGCTCCAGTGCTCACTTTCCTTGTGTTTTTAAACGGTTTCGGCGTTTCAGGGCTTCCGAAGCGCCAACGTTCCAGGGCCTCCGAGGCGCCAGCGACGGTTCCAGGGGGCTCCGGGGCTCACTTTCCTTGTGTTTTTACAGGGTTTCGGCTTTTCCGGGCCTCCGAGGCGCCAGCGTTCCAGGGCCTCCGAGGCGCCAGCGACGGTTCCAGGGCCTTTCCCAGATCTCGGAACGCCTGCCGGGAACATAATTTCTTTGCTTGCGTTCGAGTGTTCTTTTGTTCTTCGCCACCCTGCCTCTTCGACGTTCTTCCCATGTCCTCCTCCTGCTGCGGCTGCTCAACATGCTACTCCTGCACCTCCCCCTGTCCTTCTTCTACCTCCTCCTGCTCCCCTTGAACCTCCCTTCCTCCCGCTCCCCTTGTTCTCCTCCTCACCCTCATTCCCTTCCGCCTACTCTTTATGTCCTGCTCGTCCTGCTCCCCCTCCTCTTCCTGCCGCTCACCTTGTCCTGCGTGTCTGTTTTCCTCGTCCTTCTCATCCTCCCGCTCCTCCCCCTCCACAATTACTCAATATGAATACTACTCTCCCTCTTCCCCTGATGTTGGGAGTATTCGCCCCCCCCCCCGCGTGCTGTTTTTTTACACGCAGGATTCCCGGGAGTTGGGTTTTCGCTTGCATTTTTTCCAAAATGCTGCTCTCGCTGAGGCGCCGGCTTCATTTTCGGGCCCCGCTCGTTCCGAAACGTGCTCCCGCTGCAGCGTGGGTCTCATTTTCGAATCGGCGTTTTGCCTCCGTCGTCCAGGATGGCGTTTTCGCCCCAGCGCGGGCCTCTTTCTTGAGCGCCCGTCCGCCCGCCGCCGCCGCGCCGCGCCCCGCTTCGCCCACCGCCACTTCCACCTACCAACGCACGCACGCACGCACGCACGCGCACCGCCACCACCACCCCACTACCCCACCCACCACCACCACGCTACACCGCGTCACACCACATCACACGCGCGCGCACACAGACACACACGCACGCACGCACGCACGCACGCACGCACGCACGCACGCACGCACGCACGCACACACACACACACACACACGCACACACACACACACACACACACCACCACCACCACCACACACCACCGCCATCACGCACGCACGCACCTGGCCCACCACCAAGACGCCACACCACGTCACACCACGGCACACGCGCACACACACACACACACACACACCACCACCACCACCACCACCACCACCACCACCACCACCACCACCACCACCACCACCACCACCACACCACAAACCACAACCACAAACAACCACAACCAACCATAACCACAACCACGCACACACGCACGCACGCACGCGCACCACCACCCACTACGCACGCGCGCGCGGAGCCACAGGTCCGCTAGGACACGCGTCCGCGGATAGAGAAAATCAGCGCCATGGTAAGGGATGGGAGGGAGGGGTCGGACGTCAGATATGACGCGAGCGCACATAGCTTGTCTTCCTCCTCCTCCTCCTCCTCCTTCTCCTCCTCCTCCTTCTCGAGATTCCTCCTCCTGCTCTAGCCCTCCTCCTTCCTGTCCTCCTCCTCCTTCTCGGGCCCCTCCTCCTGCTGTCGCGAAATATGTTCTCGGGAAGCTTCCAGGGAATGTAATTCCGCGTGCCTCCTTTTCTCCACCTCGCCGATATGATCCTCCTTCTCGTTCCCCTCCTCTTCTTTCTCGGGCCCCTCCCCCTCCTATCGCGCATGATGTTCCCAGGAAGATGCCTGGGAACATGAGTCCCATCCCCTTGCTCAAGCGCCTGATCCCTCCAGGGCGGCCCTTCCCCCTTCCCCTCCTTCTTCTGATCCTCCTCCTCTGGCTGCTCTTCCTCCTATTCCTGTTCCTCTCCCTCTTCTTCCTCCGCCTCCTCCTGCTTCCCCTCGACTTCTCCCTCTCTCCCCCTTGCTTCTGCCGCGTGTCCTTCCTCGTCACTCCGCGGGTCGCGGGGCCGAAGAGTCTCGGAAGCCGATGGGTCGCGGGGCCGCGATTGAGGATCTTCGACCCTAGAGGTCGGGGGCGTCCAGGGACCGAAGGATTCGGAGGATTCCTGGGGCCGGCTTCAAGGGTCGCGGGGCCTACGGTCCCCAGTGGTATCCGGACCGGGGGGGGCGCCTGGATCGGGGGGCGCCCGGACCAGGGGAGGGGGGGGGGAGGAGGAAGGGCAGAGGATATTGAGGAGGAGGAGGAGGAGGAGGAGGAGGAGGAGGAGGAGGGGGGGGGAGGAAAGGAGGAGAGGGAAGAGGAGGAGGGGAAGAAAGTGTAGGAGGAGCAGAAGCACATGAGGAAGGAGGAGGAGGTGGTGGAGGAGAAGGAAGGGAACTAAGGAAACGGAGGAAAGAGACAGGCGAGGAAGGGGAGGGGGAAGAGCACGAAGTCGGGGGAAGAAGAGAAGAAGGAAAAGGAAAACGAGGAGGAGGAGGAGGAGGAGGAGGGGAAAGGCGGACAGATATGTATATTATATGTATACACATAAGAAAAGGCCTGCCTTGATACTTCTGCCAGGGCCTTGCCGCGATCTCGGCTAGAAGCAAAGCGCGCGCGAAACGCGCGCGATGGTTCTAGTGCATACATATAAACCTAAATCGTCAGTCGGACACGCGCCGCTCGGGCGCGGTTGATCCTCCTTTCTTTCCTCCTCATTCTCCCCCTCTGTTTCTTTCGGCTTGCCTTGTTATTCAAATTCCCATGTGCACTCGCATTATCAGCGCCCCCTTTGCTCTTTACTCCTTCTCCGCCTCCTCTTCATATCCTCTTCCCCCCCCCTCCTCCTCCTCCTTCTCCC